ATGAACAGAGTTCAGATTCCAGCTTGTGGAAACTGGTTTATAACTAGCATTTAATGAGTCCATTGATTGGTTAATAGACGAGCTCTGCCTCGTTTCCACCTTAACGGAGAATTTAGAAACTCTCACTTTATTGACGACTAACCCTGGAGCAGTGAAAATGTACAGAGCAACAACAACGTCAAGGGACATGTATGTATGTATGTATGTATCATTTGAATAAATATAATTATTCAATATTTCATGTTATTTTGCTAGTCAGTATTAGAAATGGACTTACATTTTGTATAAATATAAGTAGTATCTGTCTATGTTTCTGAGATGAGGTATTTATTATGTACACTATTTACATTGTTCGGACAATCATTGCCATATCACAACGTATTACATATTTAGGTTGGAATGTCGAACTGAACCCTTTATTTCGCTTTCTAGTTCTATGTCTAATGGTTGTCAGTTATCTCCTGTTAATTCCCTTCTCCAAGTTCTCCACCGCCTTAACCAGGTATTGAACTCACACCTTTGGGTTCTGTCACTGCAACAACGCCTTTATCCACTGTGCCATATCCTTCAGGACATCTGTGTATGGATTTCTGGGTATTATAAACCTAATGTCTTCAGCAACTATTTTTTTTACCAGTGCTCATATTGCAATTTTTGCTGTTATCATTTTATGTCTTTTTACCAGAGCTCATATTGCAATTTTCGTTGTTATTATTGCTTTTCTTTTTCGTTGTTATTATTGTTTTTCTTTGGCACTCCTTATTACTGGTTCCCATATTGTATTCATCTCTATGCTTGGTCGGCTCAGGAGATTTTTGTGGCCTAGCATATGTGCTGATTCCTTAAGTTTACGAATTTTCCAATGATGTTCTATGTTTATGATTTCAACCTGATCCCACAGAGGGCGGTAATTTCTCTCTATATGTGGCCAGCCACGCCTGATTTTTGCACTTCTCCTCGTGAAATAAAGGGTTCAGTTCAACATTCCAACCACCTGAAGAAGACCGGAGCGTACAACGACCGAAACCTTGTGATAAATATGGCAACAAAGATGAGGATGATAGTCCGAGCAATGTAAATGTAACGGTGACTACAACAAAATAGTGACCAAGACGTGATGTGATATTATTTACTTCTACTAAAACTGATGAACTCAACGCAAATTGAACATACGAGGAAATATTAAAAATGGCGATCAGCAAAAATTGCGTTTTCGTTGTTAAAATGCATTACAGCGATTGTTTCCACGTGACTGACGCCTGCAGAAATTTGTGTAGGACCATTTCATCTCTGACCCCAAGTTGTTTAGCTATGGACAGCAATTCTTGTAAGTGTTGCGGAGGGCCGTCCTGTAATTGCTGTCGTCGACATCAATTTGTCTATGATCTTCGGTTTCGTCCTTTCTTGTTAGGTTTGAATTCCTCGTCATTTTGTAACTCCAATATTGATGGCGTTATTTTCGCTACTGTGCCTCGGCAGGTAGAAATGCTATCACCGCGAAAAGTGTTGTTACTGATTCCGGCACATTCCGTAAGTGGAACTGAGCTTCAAGTATGGAAAACCACCGATTTACTGCCGTTTCCATGACTTCCAGGGCTTTTTATGTAATAGAAGAGAAGGAAAAAAGCAAATGAACCAAGATGAAAGATGAAAACGCAATTTTCGCTGCTCACGTTTTTTTTTTTTTCCTCCATTAGACAGAAAAGCAAGGCCTCTGATCGGGAGATTTGGAGAAACGTTGAATTACCTCTTAATTGTTGTTGTTTCTTAATTGCTGTTGGGAAAACTGAGGTTAAAACAATATGGAAGCATAAAAATAGATTTTTATAGTAAAAATACCAGCAGTACATTTTTGGGAAAAAAAATTACCAGCAATAGATTTGGATCTCGTCGGAAACCCTCCGTCAATGAAACCAGATTTAGAAACTGATTTCTTACAAAGAATACATATTCTATTCATCTGAAACTGTCCTAAAAAAATTTGGCAATAAATAAACCAAAGGAGGTTAATATGCCGTAAGGCAAAATAAACTAAACCAAAAATACGTCAATGAAACCTGATCTACAAACTGATTTTTTACAAAGAAAATGTATTCTATTCATACGAACCTATCCTAAAAATCTTTCCGGCATTAAATAACCCATTGATGTTGATATGTCGTAAAATAAGATAAACAAAAGCAAACCAGACGAAAAAGTAATAGACTGAAATTCTTCTAATTAGTTGGAAAAATAACAAAAGCAATACTACTTTTACAAGCACTAAAACTACAGTTCACCTTCTTCAATATATATTTTTATATATGTAATACATTGCACATAGTCTACTAGGGTTAATAAAATAGTGCTCGATGTAATATAACAAAGCTATTATATATATATATATATATATATATATATATATATATATTGTTGTTAATAGTTACTTTGTTTTTAATAAATTCATTTCGTTTTTGCCTTGAAAAAGCCCACATTAGACGAAACGCGTCGACTAATAATACAGTTTTCCTACTGTCTTTTACTTATATATATATATATTTTACATATATATATATATATATATATATATATATATATATATAATTTAAAAATTAGAAGATCAGCCGATCACGCTACCTTAGTTTCAACCTTTCGGTATCTTTCATGCGATCCGGGCTAAATAATTTCCTAACGCTTTATTATTTCAAAATAAATAAACACACAACACGAATCGTAATAGGAGGGGATGAGAAAATCCAGGCTATTGAAATTGTATCGGAGTTGGGTATATGAAATGTGTATACTTTCATCTTGGTTCATTTGCTTTTTTCCCTCCCCTTCTATTAAATAAAAAGCCCTGGAAGTCATGGAAACGGCAGTAAATCGGCGGTTTTCCATACTTGAAGCTCAGTTCCACTTACGGAATGTGCCGGAATCAGTAAGAAAACTAAGCTAGTTTACAATTATTACCAGTCCCCGACCATCAATTGCTACTGGAATTGACTCGGAAAACTAGTAAAGAGAATGAGTTCAGTCCCGTAAAGTTCTTCGCTACTATGAATTACCGCATGATTAGGGGCTACTAAAATAAAATCTATTGATGATATAGGTACAAGAGTCGCTATAATCCCTATATCAGTAAGAAATGCGATTACATTAGACCCGACGCCCATATCACTCTAAAAAAACAAAAACAAAAAACAAACAAAAAAACAAAACAAACAAACTTTAATTTAACCACCATATAGAACCTTTTCTGCCTGCTATCAACATGGCTGACTCTAGACTCCAGGAGAGAAACTGTGTCTTCTTGGCCTTACGTTTTTAATTGATTTGAAGTGGAGCGACTACATCGAATCTGTAGATGCATCTACTGCAAGGAAAGTTGGGTCTCGTGAGAATCCACCTTGCACATTTATAAATCTAGCATTCGTACTTGCATTGAATATTGTTACCATATCTGGTCCGGTGCTCCTACTATGCATCTAGAGAGTCTTGACAAAATCCAAAGAAGGATTTGTAATGTAGTCGATCCTGACCAGTCATCTCGACTTCAGTCATTTTCTCACCGACGTCACGTGGCTTCCCTTCCTCTTTTCGACAAATATTTTCATGGCAACTGCTCTGATGAAGTTTTTTTTTCCCTTGGGTCCCGAGTAGGGCAAGTAATGGCTTATAAATTTTAATGCCCCCGAAAGAAAACTGCTATGCTTTAACCGCCATAGAAGACCTTTTCTCGCTGTCATAAGTATGGCTGATGCTAGACTCCAGGAGGGCAGCATACTACACCTTCTTAGCCTCACGTTTTCCACTGACATGAAGTGAAGAAACTACATCAAATCAATAGCTGTATCTACTGCAAGGAATGTTGCGTCACTGTATCATCCCAGAAATTTTTCTTATCAGAATCCATCTTGCACATTTACAAATCTAGCATTTGTCCGTGCACTTGAATGCTGTTGCCATATCTGGTCTCGTGCTCTTGCTATGTATCTAGAGATTCTTGACAAAATCCAAAGACGGATCTGTAATGTAGTCGATCCTGATCAGTCATCTCGACTTCAGTCATTTTCTCATCGACGTCATGTGGCTTCCCTTTCTCTTTTCTAAAAATATTTTTATGGCAATTACTCTGACAAGCTTTCTTTTTATAAATTTATTTATTCGTTTCCCAAATACATGAATTTAAGAGTGCTACTAGATTGGCATCTCGGCCACACACGTTTACTGTTAAAATAGCTAGATTCAACTGCCACTTCTACTCTAAATCAGCAGGGTAGAAGGAGGATTTTATTTCCTCTAACTTATTACTAGCAGATTTAATATCCTCTGAACTAATGTGAAAGCCTAAGAAATTTAGGGAAGTCTGATTAAAAACAGATTTTGAAATAGAAATTTTAAAATCATTATCAACCGCCATTTCTTCTCAACGGTTTATTTTATCGCACTTACCGCCTGTGGAAATCCCTCCTGTTTAATTGCTTCCATGATAAATACAATCTTCACATATCTAAATGCAACTTCAATCACCATCTTCTACCTTCCTGAATTCGGTTCATATTTTGTCCTTTCCTCAATCTTCTTAGTCTTTTCTTTCACTTTCACTACCTGTAAGCCCCTGCATACTAATAGCATTCCCGCCTTGCTTAGTGAGAAATGATTTAAAAATTCTTACAATCTAAGAATAGTCTCAAGCTTCAAATAACCCTGGAAAGGGTTGATAAGCAGTAAAAATCCACCAATCAATTAATCAAGCAACAGAACATTGGCGTAGTGGATATGACACTTGCCACTTGTCCCAAGTTCGAAGGAGGACAAGATCTATTTTTTATTTTTATATTTCTGCATGACAGGAGTTACGCCCAGGGAAAGTCAGAAAGAACGTCGTGTTTGTTGAATTATTTTCTTTGGAATTAGAACTATAAAAGTCGCTAAAGGGTGTGACATTGGCTGACTGCAGAGTCACCGCAATTCACGCTGAAGGTCAGTTATTAATTGTAGCTGGAGAGCATGCGAATAACGACGCTAGGATAGATAGATAGATAGATAGATAGATAGATAGATAGATAGATAGAAACAGAATTAGATAGATAGATAGATAGATAGATAGATAGATAGATAGATAGATATGAACAGAGACAGATATGAACAGAGACAGATATGAACAGACTGAGATAGATAGATAGATAGATAGATAGATAGATATGAACAGAGACAGATAGATATGAACAGACTAAGATAGATAGATAGATAGATAGATAGATAGATAGATAGATAGATATGAACAGAGACAGATAGATATGAACAGACTGAGATATATATATATATATATATATATATATATAGATAGATAGAAACAGAATTAGATAGACAGATAGATATGAACAGACTGAGATAGATAGATAGATAGATAGATAGATAGATAGATAGATAGATATGAACAGAGACAGATAGATATGAACAGACTGAGATAGATAGATAGATAGATAGATAGATAGATAGATAGATATGGACAGAGACAGATAGATAGATAGATAGATAGATAGATAGATAGATAGATAGATAGATAAGAACAGACCGAGATAGAGACATAGACAGAGAGATAGGAACAGACATATATATATATATATATATATATATATATATATATATAGAGAGAGAGAGAGAGAGAGAGACGGTGTGAGAATTAACACTGATGTTTTTGTTCATGTGGTTTACCTCCCAGCAAAACAATATTGTCAGCTAGTTTTTCAAAATCGAATGAAAGAGAACGGGGAGAGACAAAACGAAGATCCTGACCGATTGTGCAAAATCTTTCTATTTCATCCCCACACTAACCAAAAGGTTCGACAAGCCTTTACTGGTAACTCTTTCTTCCTATGTACATTTAAGTGTGTAAATGTTGACCTTATTAAAAGAACCGCTCAGGAAGTAAAGGAATTTGCTCTCACCTCTAACTTTATCTGGGTTTAAACAGCCCAACAGCGTTCATGTAAATATATTTATCGTATTTTCTCCGTTGCCTACATCTTTCTTTGTGGTTTTCGGCAAGAACAATGATATCGATTTTAATCATGTTCGTACTTCGTGACTTGACACTACTGTCCATCGGCCGCAGTTGGGTCCAGTCTCTATAATATATATATATATATATATATATATATATATATATATATATATATATATATATATATAATGTCCTGCGTATGACGATAAACTACATCCGGCAGCAAGTCTTCTCTTCGGGAGATTGGAGGATTTGAGGAGCGTGGAACCACCTTTTAATTGCTGTTGTTCCCAGGTCCACCCTGACCCGGGGTGGTAGCACCTGTTAGGGTCACAGTTATTGGCAAATAGTGTCTACCAGGGCTGACCAATCTCTTTAGTGTTATAGAACATGACTAGACTAGGAGATGGCAAAGTCTTACACGAAAAGCCTAAGGTATATTGTCTGTCTGCGGCATTTATTTCCACCGACTAAGTGTATCAATAGTTCCGAAAAGTGTGGTTGGTTCTGCACAAGCCTTCACCACTTTAATCAAATCACTTGGGTGGGTTTTCTGACGGTTCTTATTACTTGTCAGCAGTCAATATACCTCATAACACCCTTGAGCGCTTAGCCTTGGAGCGGGTAGAATGGAGATCAACGTGTTTTAGTGGACTCAGAAGTTTTCAATCTGCTTGTCTGAATCATCTTCAAGAAGTGAAAGCAAGATCTAAAAGGTGGCCTCCTTTGTAAATCACTAGTGGGTCTTAAATGCCACTTAAGATTATCGCACAAACTTTCATAACTGAATCAATTAAGCTGTCAGCTCCTCATTCGTCGAAACCGATGGGAGAGTCCATTATATATATAAAGAGAGAGAAAATTTCCAAAATTACCTCATCTGGGTATAGTCTATTTCAGCCTGCGCAATCTTGCGCCATTTTTCTTCAACCCTGGACTGGACTCGTCTCAGAATCAGGGATTTAGAATTTAGTTTAGATAGCAGTCGGGGAAATCATACCGAACCTACCCAAAATGACGTCTCAGCCAGATAGAAAGCCCGTGTTTGTGGTAAGGGGAGGGCGGGGGGTATCTCTCAAAAAAGGGGTAAGAGGTCCGCTGGAATCAACCCCGATATTAACCTTATGATACTAAGTTGGGGTTATGTGAAGAGTGAGGTAATCTGGGATTTTTTGTTGTGTAATATATATGCTCTGTTATAATAAATACATTGAGCTCTCTTTGTTCATCAGTTTTAATATTTGATATTAGTAGAACCCATCTGTACTGTATTCCAACGGATTTATTACCTTTACTCTCTCTCTCTATATATATTTATATATATAGAATCAATAGCTGCATCTACTGCCAGGAAGGTTAGATCTCGTGAGAATCCACCTTGCACATTTATCAATCTACTATTCGTCCGTGCATTGAATACTGTTGTCATATCTGGTCTGGGGCTCCTGCTATTCATCTCGAGGTTCTTGACAAAATCCAAAGAAGGATCTGTAATATAGTCGATCCTGACATGGCATCTCGAATTCACTCACTTTCTCACCGACGTCACGCAACCTCCCTTTGTCTTTTCTACAAATACTTTCATGGCAACTGCTCTAATGAACCTTTTTTCTCCTTGTGCCCCAACTACATGTATTTAAGGGTGCTACTAGATTGGTATCTAGGTCCTACTCTTTTACTGCTGAAATAGCTAAACGCAATCACCACTTCTACTCCAACAGTTTCTTTCGTCACACATATCACCTGTGGAACTCCCTTTCATTTCCTTGCTTTCCTGATAACTACAATCAATACCTGTATCTATTGCAAAGAAATCTGGGTCACTGTATCATCCCAGAATTTTTTCTCGTCACAGTCCATCAGGCACATTTACAAATCTAGCATTCGGCCGTGCATTGAATGTTGTTGCCATATCTGGTCTGATGTTCCTTCTGCACATCTAGAGATTCTTGACAATCAATAGCTGTATCTACTGCAAGGAAAGTTGGGTCACTGTATCATCCTAGGAATTCTTCTCGTCAGAATCCATCTTGCACACTTAAAAATCGAGCATTCGTCCGTGTATTTATATATATATAGATATATATAGATATAATTTCTTTCCGCAGTAAAAGTAGCATTAACCAACTGCCTTTCATCCTTCTTTTTGATCATGGCTCTCCACATTTTTCTGTCACATGTAACCCATAATAACTTTCATCTTATTGCCATCTCTCCCCAACCCTGTCTCTCCAACCATTTCCTCAAACTCTTCAAGTGCGTTATGCGTTGCTTTCCTCTGTCTTACTTTTAAGCTGTCCTGTGAGTATAAAATTTTTCTAAGCTCGTTTCCTCATTATTTATCCAGAAATTACATCTGTTTCTTCCGAATGTTCAGTAGAAGTGTACTTTTTTGCCATTGTCTCTAGAACGTTGTTGTTGCTCACATGTTCGGTCCAGAGTATTCTCAGCATCCTTCTGTAGAACCACATTTCTGATGCTTCAAGTCCCTTATTCATCTGTGCCGAGATTGTAGAGCACCAAACAGAAAAAGAGCACTTATTCTTAACATCAGGAAGAGATAGTTGAAATTTCTAGGACACATAATGAGGAAAGAGAGCTTGGAAAATTTGATACACACAGGACAAATTGAAAGCAGGAGGGACAGAAAAAAACAATGCATAACCTACTTAATGAGATTGAGTAAATGGTTGCTAGGTTGAGGAGAGATAACAAAAAGATAAAAGTAAGAGCTGCAAAAGACGGGAAATTGTGGAGAGCTATGATCTGCAATGTGATTAGTCATGACCTGGTATTCCGGCTTCAGTTACTTTCTCACTGCCGTAATGTAGCATCCCTGTGTCTTTTCTATAAATACTTCCATGGTAATTATTTGGATAAGCTCTTCGCTATGGTACATAAATTATATGAATTTAATCGCAGTACCATATTGGCGACAAGTTCAGTAAGTTCTTTGCTAACAGTTTCTTTTCTCGCACTTCTCGGTTGTGGAACTATTTTCCGGCTTGTTGCTTTCCAGCTAACTTTAATCTTCAAAAATTTAAATGCAATGTCAATCGTTATCTACTGTCTTCTTGAGTCCTCTTCTTTTATTGTTCTCTCTGCTTAAAGTTTTTCTTTTTCTTATTCTTTCACACACAGTAACCTTTTGTATCTTAGTGGCTTTATTGCCTTGCTTGGGGTGAAATGATTAAAAAATACTTCGTCTTGTTACGTTTTGAATTAACACTTAATATCTTTTCAAGCACAAAGCATAAAACTTGCTTTTTTTCGGGTATTGTCCTGGTTTTGAGATGACTCTACCCGGCAAAGGTTCTGTAGCAATTCCACCCTTCATTGACGACCAGAGAGCAACTATTTATTGAAGCTGAGAAGGTGTCAGATGACGAGGGGCCTATTGACCAATTTCAGACGCTTTTCGAGCTCATGAAGGTGTTCTATGATTGAAGTGCAATATGTATTGAACTGTTTTGCTAATTCTTATTCAGTTTACCTTGGATTTTCCTCAACCTAGGTTAGCAGACACTCAATATTGACAAAACTTAGTCGCTTCGATCGAGAGAAATCGTCAATAGAAGATTTCCCCGCTCGAAACAGGTCAAACCGACGTTGGCATTTCACTCAAAACTTCATTTCAACAGACAGAACGAATATTTCGTACCAAATCCGTTGCTAAAGAGCCCTTTTTGAATTTATTTAACATTGTCTGATATAGGCCGGAGTTTTAAACTTGTCGTGTCCATAAAGAAATACATAAAAAAAATAATAATTATACTCTTACTGTCCATAAAATAAATAAATAAAAATTAATTATAGAGTCAAAAATAATTGTAATAAAACAATTATAATTTATCATTAATTGATTCTTTCTAAACTAATAAGAATCGAACCTACTTTTTCTCACTAACGGACAGGCAGTCAACACGGACAGGCCTTCAAAACGTGCGTCAACGAACATTTCATTTCCTTTTCCTTTTTCAGGCGATAACTTTTATCTCTTAGCGCTCAACAGAAATTCGAGGTAAGAAAACACCAGGCACTTGTATTTTCAGACTAAATTATCTGGACACTTATACACATTTATATATATATATATATATATATACATATATATATAAAAACTTGCGAGAAAGACTATATGGACTTTGTTTAGTCGTTATCTTATCATTCTGTCGGATTCCGATCCATATTTTATCTACATTTAACCCCCAAAGTCACAATTTTACTCAATATTACTGTTTCTCTTTTCTCCAACACCACATGCCAACCAGATCATAAATAAAATACTTGTTTTGTCGTTTCTTGCTGTTTCTCATTTTTACGAGTATTTTTAAGTAAGAACCGACAGAGGGCTTAGTTACTTGTGGTCGGCTGCTGTGTTGACTTTTGGGTGATGAATTATTTCCCACCTTGCAACCCTTTCCCATGGGCGAAACGTTGGTAGACTCTCTCTATCCTATCGCTATCTTCATGGAAAATGTTCAAACGAGCTATATTCCTGAGTTTCATCGGTTCAGATCTTCAAAGCTATGTGCATTAGGTCGACTCATCCTGTTTCCTTTCGTATTTCATTAGTAAAGAGGAA